AAATACCCTCCAACAATTCTTTTGACAAAATGAAAAAAAGGGGCAAATTAGACTTTGCACCATTTTGGTGTTTTGGTGCAAAGTGAATAGTGTTACACCTCCAAGATGGTGCAAAATAGGAAACTCTAAAAATTCGAAATAATGTTTATACATTAACTGGGAAAATAATTAATAACCTCCCTTTAAGAGTTCTTCTTAATATTTTTCAATATCCAAAATAAAATGGTTCTGACTTTTGGGCCATATTTGGTATAAGATGCCTAGCTGATATAATTAAGTGGAAGGCTCCCAACTTAGCCACGAATGACATTGATCTACCTCTAGTACTGCAATTTTCTGTTGTAATGTTATGATCTCTATGGATATATATGATTGAAATGTAGAGAAAACCAATCAAATCAGATACACTTGCATCACACCTAGGCCTTCAATAATAATAAAAAAAGACACAAAAAGCACTAACTAGACCTCATTAATTAACAAAAAACTAAGGACAGTACAGAACCTTCAAATTGCTAATGAACTCAAGCAGATAAAGAAAAGAACTCATCTAATGTCTCTTTTGATAGCAATGAAAATTCAAAATTGTTAGGGAGATGAGTACAACTAATGTCTTCCTCAATAAATTACTCCTCATTTTGCACTCAGATGTCACAATTTACCAATTTTATATGTTCCTGTCCTTTTCTCTGTAAGGGAAAGGACCCATATCTGTTATATTTTCAGGTTGAAGCATAAAAACTATCAGAAAACTCGAATTATTTACCTGTTTGAGTAGACTCAAAACTTCCTCTCTCTTAGCAGATCATTCGACATTCTCATACAGGTCCCTAATCCACCAAAAACTAAAATAAGCCATGAATCAGTCGTCCCGGAAAAATCACAAAGGAAGCAAGAAATTGACATAGAAGAGAAGCTGGGAAAATGGAGCTATTTTTCGTCTATTTGTTAAGCCATATTTTAGCTAAGGTTATTTATGTAATTGTACAACTCTTCATTCATACAAGGCGTGAGTAATTGGTTTATTTTGTATATATATGGGTGCTGTTAACATTTGGTATATATGAAAATTCATTCAACTGATTTTCCCTCAACTTTTTCCTTTCCATATTTCATAAATTTCTGCAGCTCTTCATGGTATCAGAGAATTCAATTGAAGCTTCCGTGTAATGGTGGATGAATCAAGCGTTGCTGCAGATTTACAAAATTAGTGTGATCATAATTCATCTGGCTATTCATCTGTTGGCAAAATGGCTGTAGGAGACACCAATTTTCTTCTCAGTCGATTGATTACTAATCCAGGTATTCCCTACCGTCTTCACTATGGAGATAACACGGGTATGCAGATCATTTTTGTTGTTCTCACTGAAGACAACTACTCGACGTGGAGTTGAGTTGTGGTTATGGCGTTGAGTGTTGAAAACAAAGAAGGTTTCATTAATGGAATAATAAACAAACCTCACAAAGAGGATCCTCTGTTCAGTGCTTGGAGAATGTGAAATTGCATTGTTTCTTCCGAGATCATTAATTCTATTCCTAAATAGCTCCATCCTAGTGTGATGCATAAGGATTCTGCGAGGGGAATATGGATAGAACTTCGAGATAGGTACAACCAAGGTAATGTCACACGCATCTATGAGTTGAAAAGGCAGATCTCTTCGATTTCACAGGAGAACGGTTCAGTTCTTCTTTAACAGGTTCAAAGGACTTTGAGAAGAGTTGGATAATTATAGACCCGATGTTAACAGCAATTGTTGCAAACATGAGGATCAAGTTATGCAGTTTTTAATGGGGCATGATGATGAATTCTCTGCTATCAGAAGTCAGGTGTTGTTGATGGATC